GAATTACCAAAATATTGACATAATGCTGGCCAATTCTGAACCCTACGTAGGTTTATGTAAGATTTATTTTCCTGATGTCTAATATCACTGAAAGTACAAAAGCACTCAAAGTTTAGTTTCTTTACCTTAAAACTTCCAGTGCGTTTCTTGATACATTAATGTCACTTAGCTGTGCAGGAAATCTATATGCTGGGCCATCCAAACCAAGGTATAATCTATAATCAAGTAAGTCAATTCCAAAGAGTTGTCCTTCTAAACCTAACACAATAATAAAATAACATGAGCCACAATTATTATTATTAACATTTGTTGTTTTAAATGTTATCTAGTTGCTTACCAGCTGATTGTAGTCCAAAAAAAGTGGAATCATTAGCAACTTTTTCAGAAAGGTTATGCATGAAATAGGTATCAAATATGCACTTATTAGTTCTTAAACATTTAATGTGATCTTTGACTATTTTTACTGGTGTTGCTTTATGTACAAATTTGGAGTGTGATAACTCAAAGTCATTGTCAACAGTCAATACTCTTAAATCTATCTTTCAATTTACAGTTGACTTGGAAATTATCTCACCCCTACAAAACCTCAAAATAAATTAGACACAATAAGAACTATAAAGCCAAGTAATGAAAAAGTACTTACCATTTAAGATAGACTATGTCATAATTATTTGAAAAAATTATTTTCAATATAAGACCTGAGACTTTCATAATATATTCCAGGGTTGGTAAATTCTTTTTTCCTCCTTCCATATTAACAAAAGAATAACAAACAACATATCAATCCTAATGATAAAATTTTGAGATTAATTATAGGAAGTGAGGAAATTATAAAAAGGTATGTGATAACATACAGGTGATAATATATTTTTAAAACTTGTTGGTGTTTGTTATCAATGTGACTTTCTTTTAATTTATCTAATAGATAAAGTATGTGCTTCCCAATAGTGTATAAAATTCGTGTGCACAGTATGCACAGTGTACAACCCCTTAAACTGTGCAAAATGAGACAAAAATTTTAAATATAGTGCACAAATTCAATGAGAAATTTTGCATTATTACATTTTCAATATATAACGCACAAAAAAAATCAAAAAAACTAAACTACTTACAACTTTTGCACCAAAATTGATTGGCAAGTTTCTACACTGCTTCCCAATAGTGATATGAGGCACATAACTAAACATTTAAGGATACGGTCTAGCACGTGATCATTTATTAGTAAATCTACATATGGGCGGATTTGACTCATTTCAATAAGTAAATTATGTGATACCTTGATAAAAATGTTATGTAAACATGTGAT